CCTGCCTGTTTGTGTGTGCCACATGTTTGAGTATCCCTCTGCAGCTGGCCATTGTGGAGGGTTGAAGGCCACTGCAGCCTCAGTCCAAGATCAGGAGGTCAGGAGCTCCATGGTGAGCACAGGAAGTCCATCTTTGGAATTTGCGAGACCGTGTGTCCCAGGGGTTGACCTGGGGGTATCCTGGAACTCCAAGTTAACGGCCCCATCCTCTTTCCTCCACCAAGTCCTGCTCCTGCCACTGGAGCAATGATGTACCAGGGCCCGAGGCAAAACATCTGGGGACTTCGTGGAAGAGTAAAAGGACTCTTTTCTTTTCTGCTTTTGTTCATTTCCTCAGAATCACGTTCAGCTCCTGGAGAAGAGGGTGGAGCTTAGAAAGATTTGGAGCTGAGTCCAGACTCCACCAGTGGCCAGCAGCATGACCTTGAACAAGTCCTGAACCTCCCTGAGGCTTGACTTCCTCACTTGCACAATTCCAAATCGTAGAGACATGAGGCTTAGATGCCATCGTGTGTGTGAAGTATCCGAAAGTGAACCTGCTACCTGGTTGAGACCAAGGTGAAACACTTTTAGCAAAGCTTGCTGGAGAGAGGACAGGAAGCAGTGGAGCTGGGTGCCAGGCATGTGGTCTATCTGTGGTCTTGATACTCTACCGCAGAAGATGGTAACCACAATGGTAATTAATGTTTGATGAGACCTCACTGTGGAACAAACACTAGTGCTTCCCATGGATTTCTCATCTAATTCTCCTGAAACTCTAGGTGATCATGAACATTATTATGATTCCCATTTTGTGGATGAGTCAAAGAAGATCAAAGATCCTGCCAATGTCACATAGTTAAGATATGGAGCTTCTGGATACAAACCCAGGCTGTCTGGGTAAGTGTCAGTGCATTTACTACTGTGCTTGCCTGTGTTTGGGATTATTCAGAAAATCTCAAAGTTCTGCTCCCTTTGCTTTTGGAATGCAATGCGAGCACTTCTCCCATTGCCTATGAACTCCAGTGTGTGCAACATTCCAGTCCAGGGCAGGAGCAGGAGACTGGGGGCAGCTGGAGGGACAGGGCTGAACCCAAGCTACGTTCAGGAAGGCACTGGGCCACAGAGAAGAAGTAACATTGGTGGGATACCCTGACTCTAAGGCAGAGGGCAGAGAGAGCTGGGCTTGGAAATTCATGAAATGGTGTCTGGACATGGGGTCTGCAGAGAGCACTTTGTTTTGCAGACTGATTTTTGCCGCTATGCTCACCTGCAAGGCTTCCTGAGACAAGGCTGCTGCCCTGTGACAGGAGGGAAGTGGCTGCTGAGTTTCGTTTACTTAGTAATATCTATTCAACGAATATTTATTAAGTGCCTACTATGTACCAGGCATTGGGCCAAGCGGCCATTGAGTTTCCTTTGCTTAAAACATTTATTCAATAAATATTTATTAAGCGCCTACTCTGTACTGGGCCAGGCACTAGGGATTCAGTGGTGAGCAAGACAGACACAATTCCTTCCTACCTGGAGGCTGGCCAAGGAGATGCAAAGAAATCCCAGCTCAGCACCCTCGGAAGCATTTATCAAGGATGTACTCTCTGCCAAAGACTGGTACATCACCCTATGACATCCCTCATAACAACTCCATAAAGAAGTATTACTGTGATGTCCGTTTTTTCAAATGAGAAAGCTGAGTTGCAGAGAGCTTTAGTGACTTGCCCGGGGTTGCACAGCTGGTAAGTGACAGAACTGAGCCTTGAACCCAGGTCTGCTGAAAGCCTATGTTTTAACCAATGTGACTCTGCTGTGTTGTCTACTGGCAATATCCCTGCAGGTCTGAGACCTTCCTGGGATGTGGAGTGGAGGAGGGGGACAGGGCTCTGCCCTCTCCACCTGGAAGGCTGCTTTCTTACTTCTCTCCCTCACATCCCTCCTCCAACCCAGCTTTCCCCAACCCCCAATGCCTAGGCCTTGCCTTCTCTGCAGTTGGGGAGAGCTTATTCTCATGCTAATTGCAAAACTAATTGTTCTTATTGCAAAATCCATTATATAGTATATTTATATTGCAGATAATGAGCTGTTTGGATTAAATAGCTCACTAAAAGTCAATAAAAAGAAATTTGCTTCCCTGTTCCTCCCCTCATTTTTCACCAGCACCGTTAACACAGCCGTCGTTCTCCCTGAAGGCTGGAATTCATTAAAGTGCCTGGAGCTGCAAGGGGGTGTCGCTGTGTGGTTTTTCCCTTTCCCTTTGAAAAGGCCTTTGGAGGAGAGAGTTGGAAGACAAGAAGCAGGTTCTTTCCCCTGGTTTTAGTGATGCAGGGGGTGACTAACCAAGTAGAGTGCATCTTAATTTATAGCAGAATCAAAGAACATGATTTCTCCAGAACAAAAACCAGAGCTCAGGGGGGTGGGGCATGTGCTGGGGGAGTGGGCGTGGACCTAGGAGTGAACTGACAGCCACTGCCACCCCCAAAGGAGGGGGGAAATATCCGAGGTCCTCGGCGCTAAGCTCTTTACCCCCAAAGGGGTTGGGGACTGGAATGAGGCAGGGGGATGACAACCCCAGGTCATGCGCTGGGAGAGTGAATATCAGATTTGAAGCTAAGGGTCTGGATTTCCAGGTTCTGACCCTTACTAGCACCATCTATTATGGACTCCCTAGAATTTTCCTGGTCTACCCATTTCTCTGGTCTTGGTTCTAAACCTGAAGGTGGTTCGTGCAAGCTGAGACCTACCAGGGAGAGGGCTTGTCTGTGGAGTTCTAGGGTTACTGGCACAGATATTCTGCAACTACTGCTTTATTTCACAGTGTGTGGATTTTTCAGGAAGAGCTGACATTGAGACTTGAACCCAGGTCTGTGCACTTGACCTTCCATGGCACTGCTCTGTGTAAGCAAAGTGGGGCTGAGAAGAGCGGCTGTTTCTTATTTTTTTTCTTAGGAGCCAATCTCGTGTTTGGTCTGATAAAATGGCATGATCAGAGTGTTAAGATGACCTGGCTGAGGGCTACCAGCTTTGTCAAACCCACAGTGATTAGCCTTTTCTCAGCCATTCACTAGTTCATTCATTCATCCATTCCATCCATCAGTAATATGTATTGAGTGCCCCTGAGGGTCAAGGTGGTGTGTTAGCCCCTGGTGATGACTCTGAATAAAATCAGGCAAGGTCTTTTCTCTGTCTCATGGAATTGTGGGGGCAGATACTAGCCAAATAGTCACACAGATGAGTGACTCATTAAAACCAAAGCAAGTGCTTTGAAGGAAAGGAGAACACTTCTAAGAAAGTAATCCTAGGAAGACCTAACCTGGATGGTGGGGCCAGAGAAAGTTTCCTGCAGGCTGTACTAGGTGGGCTGAGTTCTGCGGGGTGAATTCCTCGGACAATGAGGAAGGAGGAGAACATTTGAGCAAAAGTCCACCCCAGAGAGAGAGCAAGTGGCAGTCATGGGACAGCAAAGAGGGTCAGCAGGATGAGGCTGGGATCCCAGCACATGTGAAGTGGTTAAGGAGTTTAATTCTTTACCGTGGAAGCAATGGTAAAACATTGAGGGGTTTAAGGCAGAGAAGTGGCGTGGTTTGTGCTTTAAAAAGTTTTCTTTGGTTTCCAGCGACATATCAGAGGCAGCTTTGGAAGCATTAAGCTGCAAAGAAGAGTGGAAGAGCCTGTAGAGAGAGGGGAGAGGAGGGAGGAGGGAAGGAGGGAGGGAGGGGGAGACAGAGAGAGAGAGAGAGGGAGAGAGAAAGAAAGAGAGAGGAGAAAGGACCTCACTAAGGATGGAGAAAAGGCAATTTGCCCAGAGAAAATCAAAGTTGTATTGGGAAGAGGAGAGAGATGCTGGCCATCTTCCCATTCAGTGCAGTACTGAGCAGACCATAATTTGGGGGGCTGATTTTAAACTCTCAGATGACAGTGATGTGGCACCTCACTCCAGCACCACGGAGAGTTCCTCAAACCATTCTTGGAAACTTTGGGGGCCTTGGTTACATCCCCAGGGATGCTCAGCTCAGTGCTTGGAGAGCTGGCAAAATCACTGTAGAGCTGTCTTATGGGAGCAAGGCAAACAAAGAGATGCTGGGTCATTGCTGCACGAATGCCCTGGACTTGTGGAAGGGAGAAGCCTTGGCATTGGCCAGCCTGGAGCAGGGGCTTCAGGAACCCCCAGATGGAACAGACAGGCTAGTGGCAAAGGGAAGGCAGCCTGAGAAGGTCTCGCTCCAGGCAGCTGTAATGGCTGTAATCTACAGCCATCTTTACTTAAGGACTTCAAAGGAAGAGGAGAAGAGAGAGAGAGGCAGCTGGATGCTGAAGCAGCTTGAATGTGACGGAGATCAAAGGCAATAGAAGGTGGTTCTATGCACTTCCCCAACCCCCTTCCCCAGCCTCAGCATCCACAGAGATGCTCTGATGGAGGGATCCCTAGGAAGGAAGAAAGGCTCCAGGAAACTGAGTCCAGCAGAAGGGGCACAAGAAGCCCCCCACAGACCAGACAGCCCCTCCTGGGGCGGAGGTCTGAGGAGCTTAGGGTTCCTGCATTCTGGGGCCCCCTCCCCCAGGCAGACAATCAAGGACTCCTAGGAGGAAATAATGATCTCTTTGAGCCTTGGTGGTGTCCCCTGTGTGGGTTTGTGTGTGCCCCTAGATTCCCCTCCAGTCCTTCAGAAAGTTATGAAGTTGGCATGGCAGTTGGTGTGTGGCATGTAAGTGGGGAACCAAACCGACATGGTCAGGAAGGGCTGGTTATTTTTGCTGCATCTCTGGGCTGGGTTAATAGGTGGAGGTTGTTTGGGGGTTGCTCCCCTCTGCGTGGCAGGCTTGGGATCCATTGTTCTTGGGTTTAGGGACATGGACCAGATGACTGCTTATTGCAAATTTTTCTTCCTAGATCTTTAAAAAAATTTATTTATATTTTGTGTAGAGACAGAGTCTCACTATGTTGCCCAGGTTGGTCTCAAACTCCTGAGCTCAAGTGATCCTCCCACCTTGTCCTCCCAAAGTTCTGGGATTATAGGCATGAGCCACTGTACCTGGCCTCTTCTTAAGTCTTGATGGTGTCCCTGGATCTGGGCAGGAGTCATTGCCTGTTGACCCTGCAGCCAGCAGTGACCTCTTCCTATTTTGAGTCATCTCTCTGCTCTTAGATCTGGCTCTTCTGTGAGTGTCTGGGTCTCCATGGACAGCAAGCTCCATGAGGCAGGGTCCCTGGAAGAGGCACTGACCATCCTTTTGGACACAGCTCGGAGCCAATAATAAGAGGCTGAGTGAATAAGTGAATGAGTAATGACTGACATTTTGCTTGTGCTATGACAGGTGCAGTTTAGGAGTAGCTCCCTTCTGGGAGCTGGGTAGGGATCTGGGTCCCTAGGTTTCTGGGCTTTGGGGAGGGTAAGACGTTTAAGGGGTTTAGTTTCTAATAACCAGAATCCAGGATGGAGGCTTGGAGGAGGGCCAAGGGCTAGGTTTCTGGCAGCACAAGGTAAAAACTCTGTGTTTATACAGATGACTGGGATAGAGAGTATGGGGGACCTTGTGGGTGAGGAGGGCTTAGCAGAGTGAACAGGGCAGAAGCTTAGAGTCTTCAAGTGCTATTGAGGCAGAAGGGGGCAGCTCAGGATAACTCCAAAGGCTTCAGTGAACACAGGGTACTCACACAACTTTTGGGTCTGGAGACTGGAGGACTGTGTGTGTGTGTGTGTGTGTGTGTGTGTGTGTGTCTCATAACAGCTCTGAACTTTGGAGAAATGCATGAAGGTTCTGGGCCTGGAACCCCAGGAGGTATTTGTGGGGGTCTTTGGGAGATGCTGTGAGAACTCAGAGGAGAGGGGATGGTCCCACAAGGTGAGGAGGTGCCTTGGGGTGCCTGGAGTTCCAGTTAGGGCAGATAGGGCCTCTGGGAGGGCAGATGCCGGGACCTCTGGGATGTTGGGGGAAGAGGCATTCCTTCGAGCCCTATCTTCCCAGCACTAATTGGAGTGACTGGCCAGGGAAAGGCTGGGCTTGGGGCTTTTCCCCCTTCAGTTGGGATATAGGAGAATTTCCTCCTTAGCAACTCTGCAACTACAGAAAGCAACTCACAGAACACATGTGAAACCACGTATACCCAACCGCTAAGGCCGGCAAAGATAACTGGGGGAACCCACCCTGAGCTCACCTTGGCCTTCCCCTCAGCCATTCACCTGCAATGTGGAAGACCTAACACAAGAAATGGATGAACAGGCACCTGCCTTATGGGGCATGCGGCTGAACTCACTGGGGTGGGAGAGGGACCGCTGGTAAGGGCAAGCTCAGGGCCTGGTAGAGCTGGACCTCAGGGAGGGTCTGAGAAGTGGTTTTTTTCTCCCCTGAGATAAAGAAGTGAGTGCTCAGAGCCCTGATCTCAGTCCTGGAGGGGCTCACAGCTCCGTAAGGAAGACATATGGGAGGTTGGGAATAAGGTGAGCCAGTAAAGGCAATGAGAGCAGATTTGTGAGTGTGTGTGTGTCAGAGCAAGTGTGCATCTGTGTGTGTGTATAAGTGTGCACCTTTGTGTGTATAAGAGTGCATTCCTCAGTGTGGAATTACTAAGAGTAAGTGTATGTCTCTGTGCAGCTCTGTGTGTGTGTAAGAGAAAGTGTGCACTCTCATATACTCTGTGTAGAGGAGTATGTGTGTACTTTGCAGTGTGTGTCAGAGTCAGTGTACACCTACTCGCCTGCCCATGTGCACGTGTGTGTATCCTAGGTGGGAATAAGGAAGCTGTGAAGGAAGATTTAGTGCAGAGTACTTGTTTGTGTATTTGAGGGTTTTTGTGATGCACAAACGTGCATAAAGTGTCTGTGAATGTGTCTGGGGCACTTGGGGTGTGTGTGTGTGTGTGTGTGTGTGTGTATGCATATAGGCCTCTGCTGCATGCTCCAAGGGCAATGTGAGTTGTGCTTCTTTGGTGTGAAGGGGGAGACCTGAGTAGGGAAGGAGTGTGAGTGTGTGTGTGTGTGCATGCGTGTGTGTGTGAGAGAGAGAGCGTGCGTGAGCATGCCGAGTGGCAGGAATGACAAATGATTAATCTATAGAAATCTATATTCTATTCTTCCATGCGTCCACTCCGCCCTTCTCACGCGCCCATGCATCACCTCCGGAAATCTATCACCCGACTCCCAGCCAAGGACAGGCTGCGAGGAGCGAGTGACTGCCTTATTGATGAACTTGCCTGGTACTTTTTACACATTTGGATACGTGGAGAAGGAAAGCTCACTCTGGCTGTGTCGTTCATGCTCTTACTATTCATTCATTCATTCAGTAATTCATCCAGCAAATAGTTCTGGAGCGCCTACTGTGTGCCAGGAATGGTCCTGGGTGCTCAGGGCATGATGATGAATAAGGCATTTCTGGCATTAAGGGCCAGTGTGGGTCCCAGACAGCACATAGGCCACTTTGGTAGAATGTGCAGGGGGCTCTGGAATAATACAGGGGGTTTGGAAATTAACCTTGGGGCAGGGGCGGTTCACAGAGGCTCCTGAGGGAGGTGACATGTACGGGAGCTCTGAAGGGTGATACAACCGAAGGGGAGGGAGAGGAGAGGGTGCACCAGGCAAAGAGATTAGCAACTGCAAAGGCCCAGAAGCAAAGAGAACTTGCCTCTTGGGGAAAGCTTAGAGTGAGTCAGATGGCTTGGAGTGTGAGGAAGAAGTAGTAAGAGATGATGCTACAGAGGTGGCTGGTGACTGAGGGATGTTGAGTGCCCTGTGAAGGAAGCTGGATTTCATCCCAAGGGGAGCCATTGAAGGGTCTAAGCAGGTGTCACATGGTGTTGCATTTTAGAAAGTGACCTCTGGCTGATGGTGGGGAGGGTGGACAGGAGGCAGGGAGGCCAGTTGTTAGGAGGCTGTCGTGGCAGTTCCAGGGAGGGATAGTGGTGGCTTGGATTCCAGGGGTGGCAATGGGAGTGGAGAGATGTGGCAGAGCCCAGAGGTATTTTGGAAGTGGGACTAAGGGCTTGGCGACGGAGGGGTGTTGGCATGACAGAGTGGTAAGCATGACCCTAGGTTTTGGGGCAAGTCACTCGACCTTGCTGAGCCTCCATTTCCCCATCTCTAAAATGGGGAGAACAATTCCTGCTTCTTAGGGTTGCTGTGAGGCCATTTGGTTGACACTCAATGGACCACCTTGGAACAGAATGTCTACTCTTCCCCTCCCATCACATGCACCAACTCCAGGTCTGCTCTTCTCCAGAAAGGTTTGGGCTGATCTACCTCCCAGTGACTGTTTCTTAAACCACACTCTGGGCAACCCCTGGACTGTGGTGCCAGTCCCAAAAGCCCGCTGCTTTGAACCCCTGAGGGAGACTTGGAGGTTGTCCAAGCCAGCTTCCTGTTCCAAGATGGGCAACCAGGCACTCAAGAGAAGGAGAGGACCTTCTCAAGGTCACCCAGTGGGCCATTTAAACTTGCTGGTGTTCAAGAAACCACAGGCCATCCTCAGGCAGGCTGACCCCCTAAAGGTCATCATGTCCCACCTCCTGCCGTCAGACCCGAAGTATCTCCAACCAGCAGGCGGCCTGCCTGTTCTTGGAGGTTGCTAGGGAGCTGAGCTTCCTTGGCCGAGGCATGTGGTTCCTGGCTGCCCTCAGGGAAAGGGCACTGGCCAGAGTCCCAAAGAGGCTCCCAGAGTGGCTCATTTTTCAGCTCGTCCTTGTGGGGTGCGAGGAGACGTCCAGACACGAGTGTTTACTTCAACTCCCAGGGCAGCCAGACAACTTCTGATCTTGGAAGCCTCCTCACTTCAATCTACTGCTTCTGTACATTTGGATAATGTTCCATTTTGCAAAACAACAAGTTCTCTGTAGACGCAGGCAGAGCTGACAGTTATCACAGCAAAAGCATTATTTTGTTTCTCTTTCCTCCCCCTCCCTCGCTCCCTCCTGAGCGAGTGTGCATGATGGTATTAGAATACTGCAGTGCAAAGGCGTCTGTTCGTCTCTTCGGAGTGTGGCATGAGAGGCGCTGCCACGTGGGGGGCCACGGGAGGGCGTCTTGGCCAGCATTCCCGCCTGGGCCTTTGATGCACTGCTGCATTTGCGGAAGAAATGACACTGGTGACAAAAGCGGACCCAGTTCTTCTTGGGAAGAGCTGAAAAGTGCCAAGGAGAAGGCCCTGAACACTTAGAATATTTTCAAATTAAGTGACAGCGGGCACAACACGATGGGGGAGACGGCTTGCGTTTCTTTGGAGCATTCAGTCACAATTCATCATTATCCAATTTTTTTTCCCCTTGGGTTTTCTCTCTCACACATTTTTTATCCCAATCTGACAGCTAAATGAGGAATCACACTGCCTACGTTATGCGTTTTGTTCAGGAATTAACCCGTCGTCAAACACGCGCTGCCAAGTGGTTGGTGTGAGTGGAGAGTGACTGCACCGGCCCCAGATGGCCCGTGTCACACGGGGCCCATCCAGCTGGCCATCCTGAGGATGTGCTTGGAAAAGGTGGCCAGCAGGAGACACACCAGCTTCTTGAGAGCTCCAACGTGGAGCTCTGCGTGTCCCCGAGCTCTGGTCACAGACTTCTTGGCCAGAAGAACTCTCCGGGTGCCTTGGCCTGATCCTTTGTCAAGTTCATGGTGTCATCACATGTGAGGTCATTCTGCCCCTCCATCTGCCTCTGGCAGCCTTGAGAAGAGAGGCATCAACCCCTGACCTCTATGAAGGGGTTAATTCAGCTAAGCTGATAGCTCTCCTTTTGGGAAATCCTTGAAATACTTGACTCTTACCTACTGCAGTGGGTCTACTTGCTTTACCTTCTCAGCACGTTTCTGGGTACCAACTCAAACTTCAGCTCAGAGCAAGGCGGAAGTGAGGGATCTTTGGGGGTGCGTTTGGTCTTTCAAAAATGGACAAGTTTCTTCCCTTCTCCCTTGTTCTTTCCTTCTCCCCTGATTTCTTTTCTTCCCAACTTCACCTTCTTTCCTTCCCTCCTTTCCTTTCCCCCTCCTGTCCTTTCTCCTCTCCTCCTTCTTTCCTCCTCCCTAGTTTTTCTTTCTACGCCAGTGATGAATAAGATCCTGCGGTGGATAAGGCAGACCCGGTCTTTGCAATCAGATAGTTGCCAGGGGGGTGAGTTCTCAGAAGGTGAGGCATAGGGCACTCCCTGACTGTGTGTTGGGGAGCCCCTGCTGAAGACAGCTGCAGGAAGCTAGGTGATGAGCAGGCAAGGCTTGGAGATGTGGGGAAACCCAGGCAGGGGCACGCTCTCCAGGACCTCGGCTCTGCTAGCAGGCACACCTCACCCATAGACTGTTAGTTGAGTGAGAGACGAACCATACCTGGCTTTGTTCATCCACGTAGCCCAGCTCCTAGTGCAGACCAGGTGGAGATGCTCAGTAGGCACACTACGCTTGAGGTCAATGAAGAGACAGGAGAGTGGTGGTGGCCATGAGCTGTGGTACTGGCCACACCCAACATCCCCAGGTTCCTTGGTGGCTGGCAATTTCCAGCCAATAACTGGTGATCCCAAACTCTCGTTGCCTATAGATGTCACCTTGAATGACCTCCAGCTTGTGTTGAGGAGGGGAAGATTATTTTATGCTGGAGAGAGGGCAGTCCAAACAGCTAAAAGCACAGGTCCTGAGCCATGTGGTGTGGCTCAAGTCCAGGTTCTGCTACTTCCTGTTTGTGAGGCTTTGGCAAGACCTGTAATCCCACTGAGCCTCAGTTTTCTCCTCTGTAAAATGCAGATGATGAGAAGAGGCTCTGTCTCTCAGGGATGAGACGAGGATTAAATGAGATGATGTGTGGTTGGTTTGACACACGCCTACCGTTTTACACCTATTTTAACAGGGGTGCTGAGAAATTTTCCCCAGCCTCCTCTCTCTCGCTCTGGGCCCCAGGGTGTTCTTGCCCTTGTCCTTCTCTGGCCAGCACAATGATCTACCTGTCCACGTGTTCTCTCCTTCCTTCCAGCTTGGCTAGGTGGGGATGCTGGCGAAGAAGCAGATGGCAGCCGAGACTGAGTGTGACGGTGATGACACTGTGAAAGGGTGATAATTTATTCTGTTCAGCCTTGACTCGGAGTTGGAAGGAGAAATCTATTACTTCTGAAAGGCAAGGCTGAGGGCGACCTCCCTTTCTGACCTCTAACAGGTAGCGGGCCCTGGGTCTCCTGGCTCCTGGAGAACAGGCCTGGAAGGCCCCCCAGGGGCCCATCCCTGAGCAGGGACTTACAGCAGGGATTGGGAAGTGAGGAGCAGGCTGCAGGTTCAGCCCCAGAGAGAGGCGGCTGGGAGGCAGCAGGGCTCTGGCCCCATTCGGCAGGGATGCCAGGTGCAGGAGCAGTACTCTCAGTGTCTCTCTGCCTTGGCCCAGGCACTGGGTTGGGCCCGGCCTGCACGTGGGTCTTTTTCTCTTTCATCCACTCATCTTTCTTGTGAGTGGCGGATGTCTTCCAAGCAGTGGGGAGAAAGATGTAAAACTAATCCCCACTCTAATAAAAACAGTCTCCCGATTAAATATGTATGAACACATATTGATTTGGGGATTAAACAGAAAAGAAAATTGAGCCTGTAATTGAGCCAGGGAACATGTATGGGGTGAGACTTGGGATGTGCTTCTCCAAACACACCTGCTGGGGCTGGGCTGGGGTTGCCCGGGCGTAGGAAAGGTGCTGGGAAGCCTCCAGCACCCACTGGGTGCTCCTCTGCATGAGGGGCCTGGCCAGCCACTGCCTGCTTTTGGAGGAGCCTCTGCCCTTACTTTTCCTAATTTGGGGAAATTCCCAACATTCCAAAGGAATCTGGAGGAATGGGAGGGCTGTACTATTCCCACAGATATCTGAGTTTGAATCTTTAGCTGGTGGGCAGCCGAAGGGGCAGGCTTCCATCCTGTCTTAAGGAAACATGGATTGTTGCTCACCTGCTACATGCGGGTCCTGATGAAATGGAAGAAGCTGAGCCAGGATTCCGCCTACAATATTTGGACTCTAAATCTAAGGTTGTGTTTACTATAGGCCAGGGCTGGGCGGTCCAGTGACATCAGAACCTGCAGTCATAGGATTGTGCATCCTCCAAGCTGCAAGGGCTTTGGCCTTGAATTCAGCGTGTTGCCTGAAATGTGTCACCTTCCTTCACTAACAAAAGGAAGCTGGGAGGTGTAGGATGGAACCAAAGCCTATCTTCCTACCATGCCTATCTGTAGGCTCCACACCTGTCCTTGGTCAGAAAAAGAAAGGAAGGGGAGAATAGATTGTTGAGCGCCTGCTGTGCATAAGGCCCTGTGCTTGGTAGTCTCAGGTAGACTACGACCTTTTAGCATTCTGAGAATAGTGTGACATAGATCTGATTATTTTCACTTTATAGTGTAGGAAGTAGACTCAGAGATATTTGCTAATCATCATAGTCCCCATCACGATAACGATGGAAATCATTTATTGAGCACCTGCTGTATGTCAGGCACTTTACACCCATTATTGCCAATCCCCACCATGACCCTGTAAAGTAGATCTATTACCTCCATGGTACAGAGAGGAAACCAAGGCTCAGAGCGCAAGAGATGTGGCCATTTCAGTGCACAGCCCAGTCACAGCTTGCCTGACCCTGGCCACTTCTTGCATGGTCCTGGAGGAGTGTGGTTAACTCCCCAGTTTGCCCCTGCCCCAGCCCTGTGTGGTCCAGCCAGAGTGCCTCTCTCTCCCCAAGCTGAGCTCCTGCCTCACAGATCTCTGCATGCTTCTCCCCCAGGAATGTGCAGGCGCCCATTCATCATTTCCCAGCCCACACCCTCTCCCCCTGTTCTTCCCTGATGCTCCCTAGTCCCTGCCATGATGTTTGCTGGAATCTGACTTTTCCCGCAGGCCCACTTATCCTCAACGTACACCAAACTTTACAATTGCCAGAGCATTTGCACATTTGTTATCTCATTCAAGGTTCACAATAACCTCATATCCTGTATGACAGATGAAGAATTTGAGGCACAGAAAAGTCAGGCAATTTACCTCAACTCACTGAGCTAATGAGTAACAATGGCAGGTCTGTCTTCCCAGGTGAGATGGCACTTGTCCCCAGAACAGGTGCCTTTGCAGGACCCACGAAGACACAATGACCCTACGCGATGAGGTAAGAGGAATATACAGTTGGTATATTGGGTTTAAGGTTTATACAGACTTGGGTTCCAGATCCTGTGCTCCCTCTAGCTGGTTGTGTGCTCCTGGGCAAGTAATATAACTTCACTGAGCTGTGGTTTTTCTTTTTTTCAAGCTTCTCTTGAACACTTCTCTGGGTCTGGAGCCAGAACCCATACCAGGATACCTTTTAGAAGTGCCCCCAGGACTCAAGGTTTGCCCACATGGCTAATTGTCAGAGAAACACCTGGCAAGCCTGCTGTATATCTCCTTTGGTGTGGCCCTGGGAGAAAAGGAGAAAGGCATCAGATATGAACTGGAGAAATTGGAGTGCCTGGTATCCCACGGCAGTGCCCAGCTCATCAAGACCCATGGGGAGTGCTGAGAGCTCACACACTCCCAGCTGCAGCCGTTTCTGCCCTGTGGTTATTAAAGCAATGACTTAATTTTAACGAGGGTCTAAGTGTTCTTCAGGAAGCTGCTTCAGCCCTGATTAAAGGAATGAATCAGGCAGGATCCAGCCTCTGCCTAGTGAGTCTGGGAACGGCAGCATTGGGCTGTAATAATGGAGGCGGGGAGTTGTGGAACCCAGAGTTGTCTGAGCTGTTTTTTGGAAACCCCAGCATTTGCTGAGGAACCCAGGCTTTGGAGCTGCATCGTTCTCCTCTTAGAGAGGAGGTCTGGTGGTGGAGGGCCCAGGCTTTTACCACCAGTGGCCTGGGCTTGCCTCCTGGCTCTACTGCTGACCAGCTTGCAGGACTGGGGCGAGGGAAGTAATCTCTCTGAGCCTCAGTTTCTTCTTCTGTGAAATGGATCAGGCTCCTGCTGAGACAATGTGAAAAAGAACATCAGGTGCATTTGCAGAGCCAGGGCCTGGCTCATGCGCAGGTCAGATGAGGAGCTGTGATATGATATTCCATGTTATCAGTTTTCTCTCTCTTGCCTTAAAACCATGTTTGCATGCACCTGCTACATGCAGGCTATGATTAGAACCCCAGGCTTCTGATTCCAAGTCAAAGGATTTTCTTGACTCCAACATTCAAGCTACGAAAAATTCAGCCCCCAGATTCTTGTGGAGGTCCTATAGAATCTTCTTCTGGAAGTCCTGTTGATTGCAAATTCCAAGCACCTGTAGAACCTGCGTGGGTCTGGGGTTTGTCCTCCTGTCTGGGTGCCCTGACCACTCCCGCAGATGAGAACACAGGTTGAGATGAGTACAGAAAGCGGGGACAAGTTGCTCCCTTTCTTCTGTGTCTCTGTCTTAACCCTCATGATGGTTGGGAGAAGGGAACATGTGGGCAGCTTTCCAAAACCACCTCTCCCACTTCTCAACCTGGCAAAGCTGGGTCTGGGAGGGTTTCTGCCTCCTCCTCTGCCTCTCCTTGGTAGCTCAGCAGGAGCCTCTCAAGGAAAGCCTCGGGCATTTTCTGATTTCTGAAGGCTGCCTACCTGGTGGAGGGAAACCAAAGCCCACTGCATCTAGGGCGGTCCTGTGTGCCACACTCATGGGGTGCAGGGCCCAGTGAGTTTGCCTTCCATGGGCTGAGGCCCCTGGGTTCTCTGAGATGGTTGGTCGTAGGGGGCTGGGCTCCCCAGGAGGTGCTCCCAGCTTCCTTCTGCCTCCCAACCAGTATCACCACATGGTTCTGGGAGGTGTCTGGTCCAGGCTGTCATGAGCAGAGCCCATTGTCACCTCCCTGTGGATGGAGGTAAAGGGTCCAGATGTGATTTTGTCACTCTCCTTCCCAGTATTTTCCCACCTGCCATGACTTTCAAGGTGTGACATGATCTAGGGGCTGGAGACTTCCCACGTCCCTCTCATGATCCAGGCTCCCTCCTTCTCGTCCTGCTCTAGGCTTCGGGAAGGTGACCCATATAGACATTCTCTGGCTCCTTAGTGGCACTGGCCAGTGGGTGTTACCATAAGGAGACTGGGGACAGGGTGAAGAGCTGGGTTGGGACATTGGTTTCTCTGATGCTTTCCCATAGGGCCACCAAGCTTACGTGCGGTCCTTGAGGTAAGGTCCCAGCTTTTTTGAAGGCAGCCCTCTCTGCACAGCTCTGTCTGCGTCTAGTAACGGCGTTCTCCCCTCGCCCTCTTGCATGGGATTGTTACAGTCCTGCAGTTCTGCCTCACCCTTGAGGCTTCCTTATCCACATTTGTATAAAGTGCCCCTTTATTAAACTCTCCTCACTTGCCTTCCCACCTGGCTGTGTGGTCCTGGGCAAGTCACATAACCTCTCTGAGCTGTATTTTTTTCAGGCTTCTTTTGAACACTTCTCTGGGTCTGGAGCCAGAACCTACAGCAGTGTACCTTTTAGAAGTGCCCCCAGGACTCAAGGTTTCCCCACATGGCTAATTGTCAAACACCTGGCAAGCCAGCTATCTTCTTTGGTGTGGCCCTGGGAGAAAAGGAGAAAAGCATCAGATATGAAGCAGAGACATTGCACGTGGAGCTTGCATGTGTCATTGGTGTCTGCAGGACCCTGGCCGGTGCACCCTGACTGCCTTTCTGATCACCCAGGATGCTAGTGCAGCAGGTGCAATGGCCAATTACAACTGGTTCCCTTCTGATTGGGTAGCTCCTGTGCCAAGCCAATTGTTAAGTATTTTGAATTTCATCCCAACTGCATTCCCTCATTCACTGCTTTCCAGACATGTGGGCAGCTTTCCGTTCCTTAACAACCCAAGCCTGAACTGGCCTTCCCTGACCATGCCCTGTCTCCCAGCACATCCTATGCCATTTACCTGTGTATCAGTCAGGGGCCCAGCAGGAATAGCAGGGCATGCTTGACTGAGAATCTGAAGACTGTGGACAAGGATAAGGGACCCTGCAGCTAGCCACTGTGGGAAGATGCTAGCACCTGGGGTCTGAGGGGGCGCTGGGAGGAAATGTGCTATCAGAATCTGAAGAGGGCTGAGCCAGAGTCACAGAAAGTTGCAGCCACTGCTAGAACCTGGGCAACATAGAAAGGGGGGGCAGGAGAAGGGATGCATGAACTTCTTTCTCCTCCAGTGCTCTGACTTCCTGCTGGAGTCCTTCATTGCCTGAACCCAAGTAGAAGCCAGCCGGAGGCAAGGGAGTCCAGGGGTGCATTCCACAGGGCTCAGCCCCAGGGCATGAAGCAGATCAGAGTGGGGAAAATAATCGAATGGAAGCCAGGGGAAGAAACTGAGAAAAGCCAGCACAACTTTATGTTGTCTTTGTTGTACTTCTCACCACCTAAAATATTCATACTCATTTGGTTGGTTGATAGTTGATTGGCTTTCTTCTCTACTAGAATGTCAGGTCCGTAAGGGCAGGGACCTTGTCAGCTTGGCCCACTGTGAGATCCTCAAGGTTGAGTGTGTGCCTGGCACATAGCAGGTCCTCAAGAACTCCACCAAATGGAAGAATAGACAAAGAATGAGAATATGCATTAAGCCCTAGGTACAGCCCAGCGGCTCTGCTGCTCAGGGCTCCCCTGGGCCATCTTGGTCCTCCCTTGGGTTCAGGCTGGAGAGGACTGGAAGTAGGCACTCCAGGACAGGGAGGTGGTATGTGTGGGCTCTGTCAGATTGGAGTCTGGCATTGGCTCCAGCAGGCTCCATGGCCACTGTAGCTGGTCTGGGGTTTGTCCTGGTGGATGGGTGGAAGCCGGAGCTCTAACTTCCCCATATCCTTGGCTCTGAGCTGCCGGCCCAACTTTTGAAAGATTGTGGGGAGTGAACAGCCTGGGCTCCGGGAAGCTCAGGCTTGGTGAGAGGCTCCAGCATGAACGGGGAGAACTTTCTTTGTTTTCCTTCCAGCAACAAAACCAGAGACTGAAAGAGGAGACAGAGGGTGAGCAAGAGAGAGAGAGGGAGAAAGAAAGAAAGAGGAAGAGAGAGAGAGAGTGAGGAGAGAGATGGAATTGGTCCCTCTAATTGAGTCAGATGACCCATTTCCATTGCATCTGTGGTTCCTGGTGTCTGGGGACAGCGCTGGGAGGAGTCCTTGGCGATGTTCGTTCTCATCACTCAGTGTATCTGGGCACAGTGTTATTCACTCGGTTCATTTATCCAGTTGCTTAGCAAATATTCATTGAGCACCTACTATACAGTAAGCCCTGGAGATAACTTGAACAAGCCATGGGTCTGTCCTTTCTGCACATTGCCTACATTGCAAAACCCCCAACAGTGGTATTACTCACATCCCCCAGCCCTTCCAAGATAGTGAGATACTCCCTGAAACCTAACCTGACGGCGATATTCCCAACCTGCAGTGGACCATACCATGGACATTTTTCCGCATTACTGTATCATAACAGTTCCTCATTGGGAGCCTAATTCTGGCAGTGTGTGCGTTACTCAGTGAATCCCAACGCAGCCATTCCTTATCTTACTCGATGCAGCCTCCCAGAGGCATCACTCACACTTGTCGCTCCACCCTTGCGGTGCACGTCTTCCAGGACCCGGCCTGGACCATGCACACTCTTTACACCATCGAGTCCATTCAGGGGAAAGTTACTCTGCTCACCTCCACCTGGATCTCCCAAACCTACAGAGAAGTATTGTCTGTGGCTGCTGGTGGCAGTGGAAGGGGACAATGTAAAGGGCAGGAGACCGAGCAGAAAAGACGGAAGCCAAAGCCCAGATGCTCCTGGAGCAGGAAGAGGCTTTGCAAAATGGCTACAGCTCCTTGCAAATGATGTATGAAATGAGGAGCATATGCCAGGAGCGATTTGTGTGCAGGAGCTTGGCTTGGCTCCCTGGTCCCTCCTGGCAGTGCTGTCTGCTGAGGCCCTGTGCTCCCAGCCCCCAGCATTCTGGGAGTCCTCTGAAGGTGGGCTCCATGCTCCTTCTCCCTCCCTCCTCTCAAGACAAGGTGCTGCACACAGTAGGTGCCCAAGCTGTGTGGCAGATGGATCATTTCTGCCTGTCCTGGTCCTCTGAAGACAGAACAGGAGGGAGAAAGGCTACAGTGAGTCTGAGATCATCAAGCCCAATCTTGGCATTTCCCAGATGGGGAAGCGGAGCGCAGAGAGGAGGATGAGCTTCCAAGGTCACACAAGGAGCCAATGTCTTTTGACCTCCAGCTGGGGGGTTCCTAATGTCACCTACAGGCAAAAGATTTACTTTCTCCTGGGTGGTTCCAAGTCTATTTCTAATTGTGTGGCTTTGGGCAGGCCGCATAGCTTCTCTGAGTCTCTATTTCCTCGTCTGTAAAATGGGAGCAGCGACACTAATCTGATAAAGCTTTGCAGTGCTTAGCAACACAGTACATGTGAGCTTCACACTGTGCTTGGCTTATTGAAAGCATGCAGCACCTGGCAGCTCTGGTTTCCCTCCAAGGCTCTAATCCCAGTTTCCAGCAGCCGGTGCCTCAAATTAAAAAGGAAAAGGACGTTTTCCTTTTTGATCCAGAGAGTTATACTTTATAGCTTGCTGTCCCATGGAGGTGATAAATACTCAGTCGAACCTGTGCTTCCC